TGGATAAACAATAGGCTACTTAAAATGACTAATTCCACGCGTACGAAGTCGCGGGCAACAGCTAGTTATTAATAATCGCGGTCACCCATCCCAATCCCAACAATCGTAAACAAACTGCATATTCATGATCATGGTCACCCATCTGAAACCTGACCAAATATAGTCACCCTGCACTTTCAGAATATCGAAAAAAAAATACACGGAAACTAAGTATCATTAATTCATAGTTCTTGTTAAATATTGAAGAAACGTTAATGCAAGTAAGATTCATCGTAAGATGATGATGATGAATTTGATGATTGAAAGTACAGCAGCCACGTAAAGACGTGGCGTAGCGTGACCTAACAGTTTTTTTTATCAAAAAATTAAAAAAAACAATATGGCTCCCTATTTTGCCCATATTGAATTTTGATCACTATCATATCTTTAGTAGCATCTCCATGATTGAGACGAATCGATTGATGTATGAATCATCAAAATCGGTCCAGGCGTTTGGTCTCTAGTGTGCCACAAAGGGACAACATACATATATAGACTGTTAAACACTATACAATGTCTGCGCGTCGCGCTTCGCGCTCTTGCATTGCGCAGTCGGGTAAAAAGGGTCGATCACAAAGTCTTTGACCTGTTATATGTGAACGCTTTAAAAGAAAACTACAAAGAGAACTATGAATTGATAATAAATAAGATTGCTATGGTGCTCTACCTAACGTTATGAAAATTTTATTGTGCGCCTTTAGTTTAATCAAATATTATAAACTTTGCTTTGGTGATTGCATAATTATTTAATTTAGCGATCTAAGGCAGTTGCCACCATTGTCCAAAACAAAACGTCATTGATTGGTATTGTATATAGGGTGATTAACAACATTTGAAGTTAACTTCTGGCATCTACATATTGGGTTTCTGTGAATTATGTAGGTATATCAAATTATGAGACTAGGATATGACACTGCATTTGTGTATATCACAATCTTAGAGCCGGACGTTGACTTGACAATGCAGCCACTGCCAATTTTAAATAGTCGACGAATAAAAGTAAATGAATTTTATATTTACTGCTAAACTACTACAAAGAACATAAACAAAAGATGACTTTTTGAATAAGTGCTAGTTTGCTATGAAATTTACATACATTAGATATTTATGTAACGACTTGATTTAACTTCACAAATTTTTGCGAAACTTGTGTAGCCTAGACTCCGCTGGTAAAGTCTCTATATGTCTTAATAAATCAATCTTATAGACCAACACAAGGTCCATAATTCCCGCGATATTAATTCCCTTACTGAAGTAACAAGACTACGGTACATACCGTCTTAAAATACTAACTAACTAAAACTGTGAAATAAAAAAGGTAAATTTAAAAAATCACAAAACCCGACTGCTTAATTATACTTCAAATAAAAAAAATCGTGTGTGTCAGCTCCGACGCACGACTGGAGTTTACTCCTTAAGTTCGATAGTCTAACCAGACGCAAAAAGAGATTATTTAACTTAAAAAAGATCGATATTGTATGAAAGGGTAAATTAACAAATTAATGAAAATAATATACATATAAAAATATATATTTATTCATTTCATATACATTTATTATAACTAATCGACGAAATATTTTACATTAAACTTTTTACAATAGTCAAATTCAGATGTGCATAAATATATCATTAGGAATGTTGATAAATTATGGAATTATTATTCTCAAACTATTATCATTTTTTTAAATATTAATTAAATCAACATTGTCTGCATTATTAATTACAGTGACAAGTGGTTTATGGTAACTAAAATAAGACAAATGGACGTTCGTAGATACGTGGTTCACGAATCTTGAAAATACCGCATCAATGGTTGTACCATACCTCGTTGTCCCCATTGCTCTATCAGAAACAATATCTAAATTCAGTTCAGATTTTAAAAAATTTATTAATGTCAATCCGTCATCTTTGTTTGTCAAAGTTGCGCGACATAGGATGCGCACCAAAAACGTAACGAGGTCATTCATCGATAGATTTTACTCCTCACATTTTTCTCATACCGGGCCCCTTATATATGCAAATCGATTCTTTAGGAGTAAACTCCAAAAACTGAAAAGAAAAAAACAAGTCCAGTCGTCTATAATTCTGTTAATAAGGAACAAAGCCACTTTAACAGTCGTGACCCATTATTGAAAAATATTAATGTACTAGCTGTTGCCCGCGACTTCGTACGCGTGGAATTAGTCATTTTAAGTAGCCTATTGTTTATCCAATCTCATTTTTCTCAGTCTGTTTACGGTTTGTATATGAGTCAAGTGTTAAGTCTCTTAGTTTGCCCAAGGAATAACATTTTTCATACAACCTTTCATTAAAACCTAAAACCCCTATTTGAAACCCTTCGGGGGGGGTCCTTTCTTAGTGCACCCTTAGACCGTGTACTGTCATACTTTCTATAAAATATTTTTATTTTTAAATAAATTAAATAGTCTTGATAACATAATGCTTAATTTCGATAAAGATTAATATTAAGATACATATTTAACGTAGTTTGTTTTTCTTCAGACGATTTAATAATTATTTTGACACAAAATCGGTTATTGTGATTAAACCATGATAGCTAGATATATGTTATCGCGAGCTTTTTTGTAGGTCTTAATGGGATCTACAAACCCGTAGTACATCATTTTGTTCTATTGTCAATAGTTTTTGCAGCGCACGCAAAAATAGGTTTTCGATTTTACACCTCGTGTTACAAAATAGCAATTTTATTACGAATCCCTAATTTTGATAATTTTGCCTTCCTCGATAAATGGACTACCCAACACTGAAAGAATCATTCAAATCGGACCTGTAGTTCCAGAGATTAGCGCGTTCAAACAAACGAACAAACAAACAAACTCTGCAGCTTTATAATATTAGTATAGATAAACCTATTACTTACTTTATTTTTAAATCTTTTTCATCAATTAAATACTATTATCCTAACTATCTATACTAATATTATAAAGAGGCAAGATTTGTATGTTTGTAACAAAAATAATCTGTCAAACTACTGAACCGGTTTTAAATATTAATTCATCATAAGGTAGCTACACTATTTATTATTACATTTTTCTTTATTTAAATACATTTTGTCCGAGTGACATAGGCTACATTTTATCCCGATAAAATAAATTTCGCCCGTACAATGCCGGGGTGGATCACTAGTAAGTATAATATAATATTATAGATGCGAAAGTGAGTTTGTTTGTTGCGCTTCCGTGCCCTAATAGCTAAATCGATTATAATGAATTCCCCTACAGAAGTAGATGGGAACTTGGTTCTTAGCTACAACATCGCAATACTTATAGGCGTAGGGTCATTTACCTATAAAACTCTATATTATTTACTTTGAATTTTGCAGAATTATATATACAAAGCCATATTACAGAACATTTCATTGAAAATTGTAGTAAGGTTATGGAAAAATATAAGAATGTTTTATTAGTGGGAGACTTTAACATGTCCAGCATACAGTGGTCTGGATCCGACAATCGTCACCTGAAGGGTAAGGTAAGGTCAATTACAAATAATTTCATCTCACAAATGTTTTTAGACTTCATTGTATTAAATAACTTGAACCAACTTAACTATATACGAAATAAAAACAACAAAATACTAGACTTGATATTAACAAATCTTGTAGTTGATAATCTCATCAATTCTTCTATGCAATTGGTAAACGTAGACTTACACCACCCGCCCAACAGTTTCAATTTATCGTTACCTGGTTCTCAAATTTGCTTGCTAAAGAACGCTAACCATGAAAAATTTAACTTCATTAAAGCTGACTATGAAAAAATTGTTTCATATCTTAGTTTAGTTGACTGGAATGAGGAGTTTTGTTTGGGTGGCTCGTAAAATTTATCGGTTGACGAAATGGTCAGTAAGTTTTATAAGATAATAATTACTGTTATCGAAAAATTTGTATCAAAACAACAGCACAGATCTAATAATTATCCTGTTTTTATCCTGAAGGAATTAAAGCGCCTTCTTCACGAAAAATACAAATATCGTAAACGATTCAACAAATACAAAAATCCTTTAGATAACCTAAGATACAATACATTAAAAAAGAGATGCACTGCTATGAGTATTTTATGCTATAATAAATATTTAACTAACATTGAATCTTCTATCACATCCAATGCAAAATTTTTTTGGTCTTACATGAAGCAAAAAAGACGAAATAATAGAATGTTTAGAATGTTTTTCAAAGACACAGTAGTTTCAACCGGCCCTGAAATATGCGAAACAATGGCATCGTATTTCTCCTCTGTATACGAAGAATGGTCTTCGACTATGGAGTCTAAATATTAACTTAGATTTACTGGATAACCCTATTAAAAGTTCCAACTATTTAACTACTATAAGTTTTTCCCAAGATAAGGTTTTGAATGCTATAAAAGGGCTTGACTGTTTTAAAGGAGCCGGATCAGATGGCATACCATCACAATTTGTATGTTAGTTTGATGAATACGAGCATGTGAACCTTAGTCATGGACGTTTATAAATATATTTGTAGATAAAATATAGTTATTTATGGATCAGTATATGTATTCTATCCCTTACCCTAGCATCCCATAGCACAAGCCATAGCACAGTATATACTTTGAAGTTAGGCTAAATGGTGTGAGTGTGGGAAATATTTATTTATTTATTATATACAGCAGTCGTTATAAAGCGGCAGTAGAAATACTAATTCTGAAACGGGAACTGAAGTAATTTATTTTGATTTTCATTCTTTGTATACGGAACACTAATATAAGTAGTTCTACAATTGTATGAAAAAGAACCATTCTTAATCCCATTCACAATTTTTATAATTACCAATTATTACCACTTCTTTTTAATGGCGTTTTCATCATTGGAACAACCTTTAACTATAATTTTGTAACAAATTATATCTCTTAAAAAGCGATGGCGTAAAGTCGAAAGTCCATTGAATGTTAAAGAAAAATAGTAAAAATGCCGTTTGCAAAGTGTGTCGGTTGCTTTCACCTTTGCAAGTCACTCGCCTACCCGACATACGAATATTAAAATGTAAACAAGTTATTGAGATTATTTTAAACATACCGAGTCTTGGGAGGCGTTGTGCTAATCGCAAAGCTACATCGTAAAGTTCATTTCAAATATTGCTAATAACTATTATGACATACTAGTGCCGAAATTCAAACTTCTGAGATCTTCTGTCAAGTCAGTTCTTCGGTGTCTTTATTTCACCAATCATGGTCTAGTTTTATCAAAGAGTATAAATATATTAATGAGAAAAACCATTATAGTAGGGGAGCCCAAGTGGGGATAATGGGATTTACTCGAGCGCGGCAAGGAAGGCAACCTTGCTCCCAAGAACCTTGCTTGCTGAAGTACTCCCACCATACCTGAACCCTTTATATGGGGTCGAATGTCTAGGGCAGCAAAAAAACATCAATCGGCCATGACTTTTGTTCGTGTCCAAATTGTCGGTCTTTTGTCGGTGGTTCGAATCTCGAATTTTATTTTTTATTTATTAAGCTATTACTTATTTTGGAAACAATTTAAACATAGAATATTTAAAATAGTCCAGTATTTTACATTACCTGAATAGTTAAGTAGGAATTAAACGTTCGGTAGGTGTCTAAGTTGTTTATTATACAGGCTTGGTTTTTATCAACAATCTACCTTAGCCTTACCTTTCCAATGTTTGCATTTTTTTACAGTTTTTTTTTTATAAATAAATATTTCTAAAAAACCCTAAGATAAGAAAAGCGTAACAAAAGAAATAAAATGAAAACAAAAGCAACTCAGTGTTTTTGTAATCAATCATCCCCGCAAACACGCGGGGTACCGGATTCGATTCCCGGTTGGGTCAACTTATAAAATTACCTTTTTTTTTTATTTTCTCGGGTCTAGCAGAATAATTTATCGTAGTTTTTTCTGATTTCCTTAATACAATTGACTAATTTTGAATATTAACATTATGTATATGATGTTGTACAATATTTATTTAATGGGTATCGTCTGATATGTTTATTACAGTTTATTTCTTGCTCGTTAATCGCTACATAGCTTCTATCTAATCTTTGTAAATTATCTAAATAATTATTTTTTTAATTCGTTTTAGTACAGATATCTATCGAAAAATTAAGCATTTCTTATACGATTACGGAGTGCTTTTGTAGCTAGACTAGCATATAAGCATACGTGCTTTAAATATATCTAACTGTTCCGTTATCACTTAATCGTGGTTACTTATTTATTATTTTAAATGTGGGTAGGTTCGCAACGAGAACGATGCATCTGCGAATGTGGTTTTTTACTAGCCTAACGCAGACAGTTAGCCACTGATCACACGAGAGGACCTACCTCACTCCGTTCCGCGCCCGCGCACTCGCTAACATCGTATAACCTCTTCGCTAATATCGTATAATCTTTACGTGCGGTATACCAAACAAGTGGAATTCGTCAACAATAAACTGTGAATTTCTTCTAGCTAGAAGAATACGCGGACCATAAGCTTCCGACAAAGGTTTCAAACGTGAGTACGTTACGCTATTTGCAAACCCATTCGTAATTGTGTATTTATCGTTATCTCGTTGCAGCCCCTTTTCAATCGATTTAATTACTTATATCGGCTGCCCCCAATATGTATTTGCAATAACAATACACTAACCTTTGAAATAGTTTGCTTAAAATTCCTTAGATGACGCGTGCGATCGCAAGTACAATTATGACACTTGGTGTCTAAGTAATAAAGCATAGGTATTTTTGTTTGCGACAAATTATTATTTTTTTTTGTTCACATGAAGTCAATATTTTTTAATAATTTGTTAGAAAAGGCAAAGGTACGTTCGTTATATCGATTACATATTAATTAGAATGGAAAGTTTCCTGCCTGTTCCTCCTCCTCCTTCCTCCACCTAACTTATATTAATGATTCCAAGTAGTATTAGTTTCAGTGGCATTGTTGTACTCGATGTGTGTCATGTGATATTTAATTAGCTCCGTTCATTACCATAATAAGTAAACAATGTCTGGACAGAATACAATAATTATATATAGAATAGTGGGTTTACGAAAATATTGTACACGCGTTGACAAAGATGACACCAGATTGGTATTTTTTCCTACGTAAATAATACCCGTAATTACATGACTATTTCGCGTCAAAATTTATACATTTACGTTATCAATAACTTGTGTTTCGTTGTTACTCAATTAATTATACGTACTCCTTTCTACGCAATTATATGTTTTAAATAAATCATCATCGGACATTTATACGTCAATCAGTTTATTCACTTTATTATTATGGCTTAGACGAGCGATTGGTGCAATGGCATCGCACCTGTCCTGCACTCTGCTGGCAAAGTCCTGGGTTCGTCCTGGTTTGTGATGAGCACAAATATTGACTCCCGAATCATGCTTGCTTTGTTTAGCAGTTCCAGAGGGGACAGAGCTCTAGCGCACTCTCTGTATTACTCGAAAAACTTGCCATAATTTTCATGCTATTTAAAAAATAAAATAAAGACTGACTTGATAACGTTTTTTTTTTCTTATCAGAGACGAAAATCGTCGTTATGTATTTACGCATTCAGAAAGGTTTTCTCTATTTAAAATTCCTAATAAGTATTTCTTTTTGCCTTGACTTCAAAAAAGTATCCATAGATAAATTATTGTACGTATGATCATTGACATAACTCTAAATATTTTTACTGATGCCAGAGCCTAGTTATGTTAGCAGAGCTGTAGAGATGCGACAGTATCTCGTAGGTGTAGGTAATAGTTCAGGTTTGGGCAAGGTTGCCTTACTCCTACATAGTGTAACGCACAGGGTGTTCCATTGCGCTTTCATGGCATCTGTTTGTATCTGATTGTAAAAATCGGTGAAATTGCCCAAAATCGTCATTTTTTCCAACTGAATACAGCTGATGCGGCAGTTATGACTTGAATCTTACGCACGGTAGCATTATTTCACTGTTTTCTGAAAAAGACCCCGTCAGCTTCTAGGAAGAGCTATTATAATTAGTATCCTTGCCCAACGCAAGTGAATTCATAATGACTGTTAGAAATCAAAAAATAATGTAATAGTAAAACATACAAATGAAGCTAATTTTTCCCTAATGAAATGCAGACCTATTAGCAGCCAATAGTTTTGCTATAGCATAAAATCAATAGCAAAACGAAAGTATCAACGAGCCCGGTTACTTAACCGTGAGCACTTTCATTTGTTATGATTCTTTGTTCGGTGCAACTCTGCGTAGGATATGTACGGTCAGCAACAAAACTGACTGACAGACTGACTCAACAAAACATGCTACAGAAATAAAGTGATGAAATAACATGTTGGTAGCGTACTTTAATATCGTCTATTGTGTTTACCGTATTGTCATCTAATTACACTGTACCTAATATAACAATAGTTATTTATGATACACGTGCGGAAAGTAGGTTATTACGAATAAGTATCACATAATAAAAACACGAGCGCAGCGTGTCAGTGGTACGCATTTCTAATAACCTTTTACGCTAATGTGTCATACAACAGTTTTAAATGTTTTTACGAGGAAATAAAATAAAAAAATATGTAAAATCCATTTATTTAAATTACATACTAAACTAATAGCTGTTACAGTATCTGTCGTGTTATTTAAAAAAATCATTATTATCTTTTACTTCAAAATATGGGAACCAAGAAGATAACTTATCAAAGGTTTTATTTAAATTTCGAACTGACCTGCAAATTGTCCAAACTATGTCCAAACATTTTTTTTTTATAAATGTCATTTCAACAAATAAAGAAATGAGTTTCAATATCAAAAAGTAATATACAATTCTTTTTGGTATTCTCGATGCGTCAAATTGCATAATAACTTTTGAAAGGTAATAAGTTACCTGATATGGCATTTTAGACTTTAGTGAAAAAAATGTCCTCCGTGCTTCGGAAGGCACGTTAAGTCGTTGGTCCCGGCTGCATCTGCAGTCGTTAGCACCCACGAATCCGCACTGGGCCCGCGTGGTGGGTCATGGCCCAATCTCCCTATTCCATCCATAGGGAAGGCCTATGCCTCAACAGTGGGGACATTAATAGGCTGATGATGATGATGATGATGAAAAAAATGTGACAGAATCTAATTTGAAAACAGGTAAACATTTTCTGACCGCCACCGTACAAAAAGAGTTGTAAAACAACTCTTTTGCTTCGAATTGGAATTAAGTTTTTTTTTTATTATTTTGAATGATTGCCACCTCCAATTTATCGTTGATTTTACTTAACTGATTTTCCATTTTTTTTACGATTATTATTATTTTCTTCTGTCTGCCAAATAAAATAGTAAAATTTCTAAATCTAGCAGTTCAGTGGTTAAAATAACAATATAATAATGTATAAAGGTTTTTCCACTTTATTTTTTTCTCTGCTTGGGGAAGTTAGCTCCACATTACAGAAGATTAATAACACTTACTTTTGTTGTGTTCTTAAGTAAGTAATCTTTTAGAACTCTATGGAGTAGGTAAAAATATTGAAAAATTCTTAATAATAAAACAGTTTAGATAAGATCAAAGCGATTATTGTGCTGATTGTACTTTTAGCAGTACCTATTTCGCATTATCACAGAGACACTGGCCTTATGGCATAACAAGATCCGCGTGGGTGTGGCCGCGGCGGGTCACATTGAGTGCTATTGCCTTAAACATAAGGCTTCATTTCCATTTGACGTCATCATTAATAGAATAACTGTATAATGAAATAGAATTAATATTAAAAAAATGTAGTACTAATCGCCTTTATTTCATTCCTTTTGCATTCAATTATAGGTGTGTGTAGGAGAGAGAATTGAGTTAACAGTGAATGTTCCACATGAATCAGAAACTTTAGGGGAATATAGGAAAAATACTGACATTCCTGAGTGACTGGTGCCAAACTGCCAGACTTCGGGGAATTATGACGGCGAGATGAGAACATTATAATAATGACTTAGGAGAAATTACAGAATAAGTAAACGGAAGCGGAAATTGTCTTTATTTATTCGTCCGTATATGATATATTCGTCCCGGTATCGATAATTGCTACATTACAAGTTGTTTATTTTTTCCGACCTATTATTAATCAGTTCTGTACCGATTTTTCTAGAGAGCTAATTGATTGGTATTCGTAGTGTTCAATTCGAAACTCTTGTTCCTAACAACATATATAAGTTGAGATAGAAGCTTATAAGAGTCGAGTCAAATCTACAAATTCTTGTACCTAACATTTAGGGGCGTATTTATGTACTGTAGGTAGGGCTTAACCTGAAGGGAATCCTCCATCATTGTTGGTTGGGTTTCTAAAATTATAATTGTGGCGGGGCATTATGTGTTCGGGAAGTGGGTTTCTATGGGAATGATGAATTGGACCCGGAAAGCGTCTTAATGAGATTCGTTGTCGGCCTCCCTAACCAACTTGCGTTCTAGAATGGGATGGTGTTACATGGGATAATCTAATTGGGAGAATTATTTCTGGTTCGCTGTTTCCCCCCTCGTATATTTCTTTGAACTGTAATGTATGTTTTTTAATGTCCGTCATTTAGTGTATGTATATATATATATATGTGTGTATGTGTATACATGTGTATATATGTACATATATGTATGTGTGTGTGTGTGTATAAATTTAACCTTTTGTATGTGTCCGCGTATGTTCCGAATAAATGTTTTTCATTGTTTTTTCATTTTCAACTGCTTGACCAATTCCTTTAATTGTTGTTTGTCTATATATATTTGTGATCCTAAGTGCCCCTTGGTTTGGTAATTTGCCGACTTTAAAAATTGTTGAATGAAACATTTGTCGTCAATAACATAGGGGACAAATCGCAAGTAGCCCAGGCGCCGGATTTTAAAAAACGCCCCTGCTATCATATTATTCAGCTTAGCGTTGGTATCGGTTATTAGAATACCAAAACCTACGCCGTCGCCGTCGTTATTATAAGCGATAGATACACAGCAGACATAGAATTTGATGAACAGCCCTAACGGAGGAGAGTCCGTTCTAATTACCAACAAAGAACCTATTCTACTAACAAAGGTACTTATGGCTGTGTTACGTACGACCTCACAACACAAGTAAAACAACAGATAACTATATCGGAAACTTTTTTACACAAGATGCTCAAGGTCATAAGCCAATTACATTTTAAACTTCTTCTGTAATATATCATGTCCTTTTCCTTCCAGGATTTGTACCAGAACCCGACCTTCGTGCTGGATAAAAGCGACACATTTGACGTGGTTCCGGGGAAATTAGGTGAGGTTTTGGCTCAAACAGACAGCTTTAAAATTTAAACTAGTATCGTCAAGTCTCATGCGACGCGAAAGTTGGCAATTAATGATTAGCCGGGCGAACTTCGACTCACATTAAAAAGAAGCTCATTTTACTGCGGCGACAAGTTAAGTTTAGCTCTATAATTTCTCACCCGAAACGGTGTCGGCATTAAGAATACAACAGAGAAATTAAAATTTACTTATGTAGCAATCTTATTCTTATTTTTATTTGATGTTCATTGTGTAGGCCTAAGACTCTCTACATAGATTATGTTAAACTGAAATGGAAATGACTGCATACAAACAAAGATTAGTTTTTTTTTATTTTGCCATAGATATAATTTTAGAGAGAAACTGGAAATTTTAATTTATTATTATAATTAGTCCACACCAAATATGTACTGACAGATACACCAACTTGCCACAAACTGCCAAATCCCCTCAATTGATTGAATCATCTTTAAGGCAGGTCTCAAAGTCATTTGAAGATTTGTTTGAGGAAAGTATGCCGAAGGTACATTCTACTTTACATCAGTCCAGCCTAGCATGAGAAATTAACTTTAAAAACTTTAGTTTTATTGTAACGGTGCAATAAAAGTAGTTTATATTGCAATAATAGAACGTACTTGTAAACATTTCAGAATATAAAATAAATTTTCTCTACCATGTTATTGTACCTAACTAAGACTCAGAATTTAAAATAAGATACCAAGACTTATAACCGATCTGAAGCGACTAATCGCTATTGTATAACTAATAGCAACGCGATTGCAATCAGAAGCATTTGCTTTATAACGCAATGGTTAAAGTAGAAGGTGCAAACACAGAACAGAAAATTCGCGAAAAGGCGCGTAGTTGCAGAGTGGTGGGCAATAGGGATGGTACCAACACTATTAACCGATCTTAAGCGACTCATCGCTATTGTATAACTAAAAGCAACGCGATTGCAATCAGAAGCATTTGCTTTATAATGCAATGGTTACAGTAGAAGGTGCAAACACAGAACAGAAAATTCGCGAAAAGGCGCGTAGTTGCAGAGTGGTGGGCAATAGGGATGGTACCAACACTATTAACCGATCTTAAGCGACTCATCGCTATTGTATAACTAAAAGCAACGCGATTGCAATCAGAAGCATTTGCTTTATAATGCAATGGTTACAGTAGAAGGTGCAAACATAGAACAGAAAATTCGCGATAAGGCGCGTAATTGCAGAGTGGTGGGCAATAGGGATGGTACCAAGACTTATAACCTATCTTAGCGACTAATGGCTATTGTATAACTAATAGCAACGTGATTGCGATCAGAAGCATTTGCTTTATAACGCAATGGTTAAAGTAGAAGGTGCAAACACAGAACAGAAAATTCGCGAAAAGGCGCATAGTTGCTGTGGTGGGCAATAGGGATGGTACCAAGACTTATAACCGATCTTAAGCGACTAATCGCTATTGTATAACTAAAAGCAACGCGATTGCAATCAGAAGCATTTGCTTTATAATGCAATGGTTAAAGTAGAAGGTGCAAACATAAAACAGAAAATTCGCGAAAAGGCGCGTAATTGCAGAGTGGTGGGCAATAGGGATGGTACCAATACTTATAACCGATCTTAGCGACTAATCGCTATTGTATAACTAATAGCAACGAGATTGCAATCAGAAGCATTTGCTTTATAACGCAATGGTTAAAGTACAAGGTGCGAACACAAAATAGAAAAATCGCGAACGGGCGCGTAGTTGCAGAGTGGTGGTCAATAGGGATGATAACAACGAGGTAAACTTTATTCTTTTAAGTGCGTAAGTTAGATTATCAAAAAATAATGGACACTTATTTTATATTTTCTCTATCAACCAATAAATTACAAAGATAAACGACCTCCGGGGCCGAGTGGTATGAACGCTGGGTTTCAAGGGTGTTGCCTACTGGGTTCGAATCCCGGTGGGGGCAGATGTTTGTGTGTTGAATACGAGCATTTGTACTCCAGACATGGATGTTTAATATGTATTTCTACATAAATATATCGATATATGTATCTGTGTATATGTTATGGGCATTATTCATAATGCCCAATAAAAACGGGCAATGTGATTATAACCAACCAATTTATCACATTGCCCGGGAATTATGAATAATGCCAAGTGCCTATTGGGCAGAGTGACGTAAAGCATGTTTAATACTTTCAAATGATGACTTGGATAGACCGAGCATTACAAGTAATGAAATCAATTATCGGGTAGAGTAATAATAAAAACATGTTTTATAGTTCTATTTATTTTTAAAATTTAAATAATCAGACTTCGGTCTCACTTCGATCAATTTACGAAGGGCTACATTTAGAAACTATAGTCTGTAGTAGTTTCAATGCAGTTTGTTTGAAAAATCTGTTAAATGTTCGGAATTTATGGTTCCCTATTTTTTAGGATGCAAGGACTAGGGAAGTAAGAACTAGTACTTCTGCCTTATCTCCGGCACTGCGGGAATAGCAGACCCTCCGCCTTCGCGTATCAAAGTCACAAGCATCACTCCCCTTCACACCTTCGGCTTGTTGGTCGCCACCTCCGGCGGCGACCAGCCTCGGGCGCTGCGGCTCGCACGGTTCCTGCGGCTTTGTCACAGCAGGCAGGGGCTGCTCTCCCTCCGCGCTTCCGGGCTCTAAAAAATACTCTAGGGGTAGGGCAGACCAAGACCACGGCGTATCGGAGTTGACCAAATCGGTTCTGAATTAAAGACTGTTGTAAAGCCACATTTACCTTTTTTTTCTAAGTGTTGAGCCCATACTATTTTTTATTTACCAAGATCTCAAAACAAACACAAAATGGCAAGACATCTGTCATTTTGACAATAGTACCAATTTTTTGAATTTATTCATACTGCCCGATCCAAGCAATAAATTCAAGCTATCTCAAACACAGACTTATTACATGGAACACGAGCTGTCTGGCATTATTAATAATGACCGGGAAATGTGATAAATAGGTGAGTTTAGATTGTAATTAATCACTTGGCCCGATATGGCTGGGCATTATTCATACTGCCCTGGCATTATGAATACTGCCCGCATTAATCACTCGGCTCATAACATATATATTCTATCCGTTACCCTAGTATTCCATAATACAAGCCTATATAGTTCTTATTTTGGGGCTAGGCTAACTCTCACATAGTGTTGGAAATATTTATTTATAATATTTCCAACACTATGTGAATAATAATAAACCGAAAGTTTACAAATGGGGCTCGGGACGTCACTTCTAAGTAAAAATAGTACCGAGACGACGTCATGGGACATTTGAAATCAATATATCGCTGTAAGGTTTTCATTATATTTTTGATAATCTATCTAGTAAACAACGAAATAAAGTTATTCGTCATCCCTATGTATGTAATCATACAGCTAAAAACTATATATATATCTGCTGCAAATGTATATGCTATAAGTAGTATCAAAGTTTTAGAAGCATACATTGTTCACTAGGCTAAGATAAGGTGGTCACCGAGCGAAGTAACACTGTTCTTTCTGAAGCTTTAAAGCTTATAAAATAAACTGTTAGATATACCAATTTAAGTTCGACAGACATAAAAACGGAAGGTAACCTTGTCAAAGGTAACCCGTCTGAGAATGTAACCTCCAACTTACAAACACCACAGTGAAATAACAGTACTCTTTGGTGATGTTGCGTAGACATGGGTTCAGTGTAGGACAGGAAGGAATGATTCTTGTGTTTACCTTTTTGTTTTATTCTAAGTTTGTTAGCAACTTCGCAAGTCAAGGTAGTCACACCATTGACTACATGCTGTTTCCAAACCTTATTAATTAAAAATCTGACGCAAATTAATAAATTAGCTGCAGAATGCTTTAAAATCTGTGGTACATAATTATATGTGTATCAGGAATACTGCCCTAATAAAACCTATTAGCAAGTGCAAATGATAATAATGGGTAAGTAGATACTCAATTACCCTAAATAAAACTAGTTTTTACGGGTTCATGCACGAAACTTTATTTATTTATTGACCTTTCGCAGCCTTTTCAGGTCTGCATCGTCAGAATAATGATTTTTTAGAAATCCTGAAAAGGCTGCGAAACGTCAATAAATAAATAAAGTTTCGTGCATTAACCCGTAAAAACTAGTTTTATTTAATGAGTGATGTGCGTGAAAACCTAAGAAACAAATACTCAATTATCCTCTTAAAAGATTATAGCAAATTTGCGGTTGCACCCTAGCTGAACAAGGGACGATGAAAAGATATTGAATACCTCTATAGATTTTCCCGTGCCTATAAACGTATGGTTCCAGTTCCAACAGTAAAGGTTTTAATACTTACAGGGAAGGGGATTTTTAAGTTAATAAAATTTAAGTAGAAGTTTCCTAGAAATAAAGATTTAAAACATCTAACAGTTAATTGGTTAATAAATAAAAACATAACTCCTTAATAAAATTTATTTAGATAATATTTTTGAGGAGCTTGATGGCGAGGTGTGATTAGTGCGTTTAATCTGCGATCGTGGAAGTTAAGCAACTTTCGCAATGGCCGGTGTTCGCGCCCGTATAAACCCCACATATCTTCTATACTTATAATAAATCTGTAGAGAGGTCAATTCTGTACATGAAATATATTTTCAAAATAACTATCAGGGGGTGATTAGCGGTCGATACTGATGCCAAAAATGCAATCAGTAAAATTTTTGTCTGTCTGTCTGTCTGTGTGTATGTTCCTTATAGAAACAAAAACTACTCGACGGATGTTAACGAAACTTGGTACAATTATTCTTCATACTCCTGGGCAGGTTATAGTATACTTTTCATCACGCTACAATCAATAGCAGCAGAGTAGTGAAGGGAAAAGTTGGGAAAACGGGAGAAGTTACTCCATTTTTTAAGCTTCCGTCGCGTGTGCAGTGCAGTGTTAAAGTTACATAGAAATTATGTATGACGGAAATATTCTACATAAAATTGTCTAAGAAATATCCCGCAACAGCATATGTTTATCTTTTATGGTTGACTCACAATAACACGTGTAATTATATAAATAAAGTCATTGTTTATAACACAAGCCTGAGAACAAAAACTATAGTTTACACTACAGCTCTACACCGAAGCGAAGCGAGGGCGGGCCACTAGTACATACATATAAAAGAAAAGGAATATTACAAATCATAGCAGAATAGCATAAGAATTGCACTTATATAACGGGTGGCGCCATCTATTGGATTGTACACGGTAGCGCTCCTAGCACAAACGTCATTGGATATCGCCCGCAGATGGCAGATGTCGCTCGTATTCTTGTGTTCGGCTGTTTTTACTTAGTGTTTTTACCGACTATTATGTCATGACTTGCGAAATTCATTCTCTCAAGAAAACTTACTTGAAAATTGTATCCATTTTTACATAAAGAGAAATTACTAAAAACACCGAGTTTTTATTGAAGAAGACTCCACTTCTATGCCCAAACAGCCAGTCATAGGATAGATGCCCTAATCTTAATTATCTCAAGCCTCTCCATGCTTGGGAAGGCACGTTAAGCCTGCAGTCCTGGCTGCAGCTGCAGCCGCTACCTCCAATCCCGCTTGTAGGATCATAATCTTACTCTCTATTTCATCCATAGGGTAGGCCTATGCCCCAACAGTGGGAACATTAATAGGCTGATGATGATGATATACTTAAATTACTTATAATTGCACTGCGATATAAATAATGAATGCTTATGCGGTTTATTTTCTGACAGCTTTAATAGTGCTGCCCGCTTTTCCTGGATAAGTAGATTTGGTTGCAGGTGACAAGTGGCTGGTGTCTTGCCTGGGGGTGCTGTATCTGAACAAAGGTCTGTTCTACCGAGTGGTGCCAGCAGACCAGCGCATGGACTCGCCCTACGCTGGCGTCTTCAGGTGAGCGAGCAAACTTATGATCCTTGAAAATGTCAAAAACTATTGGCGTTTACAATTACCATCAAACATTTAAGGAATGGTAGCGCCAGTCTAGGGACTAGAAGACTGCAACCAAATAGAGTATTCTTTAAAGAAATTTATTTCTGCAGTAAGTTTGGTTTTCAAAGCTTCAAAGCACATATTAGGCGAAAGGTTCAGCGTTGGCAACGTGAGAGTGATGCTTTGGCTGGAATTGCAAACGTCTTTTTGCTATGGTAGCCGCTTAATATCAGCTCCGTCACTACGGTAAATAACCACTGTATTAATAAAAAGTATTTGAATTTCTCACACTCACAACAATTAGCACAGTAAGGCTTGTGCTATTGGATGTTAGGGTTGACGGATGGAGATACAAATACATAAAATAATACTAGATAGGTAAGTATGCTTTTGATAGATATTCATATTTTTTGTAAAAAAGTCTGGAAGTAAATATATATATATATATATACTAGCTGACCCAGCGAACTTCGTACCGCCCTAAAAAAATAGGGGTTGTCCAGCGGACAAAATTGTGAATCTAAACCATTCTCAGATCCCCTTGAACACACACAAAAAAATTCATCAAAATCGGTCCAGTCGTTTAAGAGAAGTTCAGTGACATACACACTCACAGAAGAATTATATATATAAAGATATAAAGTAAATAAACAGCCATGATTAGGATACAAATGCTCATATTTATCATACAAACATTTTCCTTTACTGGGATTCAAACCCGAGAGGAATCTCAGAGTAGGCAATACCTTGAAAACCGGTGTACATACCACTCTACTATGTCAAAATAGATACTTTAAATGTGACTCATTCTGTTTCTCTTCTTCGCTCCCGGACAGGTAAAGATAAAGAGAGAAAGGACATAACGGGTTGTCCACTCAAATTGTAACGAAAGTCTGGGGAAGCATCTTCTTTACCTTACAGAAGACCACAGCGGAAATAACCAAAAGGTAATTTTTGGTGGTGTCGTGATTTTGTCGGCGAGTTAGGTTCCAGGGCTCTACGGGATAGGGGATCCAGTCAAGGTAGGCAACAGCGCAAGTGATATTTTTGGTATCGCATTTATAGGCTATGTCGGCCGCTTACCATCAGGCGGACAATAAGCTCGTTTGCCACCAAAAGTGTAAAATAAAAACAAAACTTATGCTGCCTCCATGAAAAAGCTCTAAAACACACAACTTTCAGGTTTCGTCTGTGGTGGTGTGGTCAGTGGCTCGAGGTGCTAGTGGACGACCAGCTGCCGACTGTGAACAGCAAGCTGGCCTTCCTGCAGACCAGCAACACGGGGGAGCTGTGGCCCGCCCTGCTAGAGAAGGCATACGCTAAGTAAGAGTCATTAAAATACGGTTAACCCCATTTACCTGCTCCGCTAATTTATCAGAGGACGGTGGCAACAAAATATGTATGAATACTTCTTAGGTTGACACCGACTCGACTAGAATTTATTAAATTAACATTTGGAGTTTTAACTTACTTTAGATTAAAGTAATGTAAAATAATTATTTCTCAATTTTAGTTATTTTGTTTTAGTACAGTCAATCTGTCAAAAAAAATATCGTTTCAGTGAAAAAAAAAACCTAAAGGGTAAGCCTTGTTTTTTCTGTTGCCAAATGACGTCAGTAAGCCACCTTGGCGATGGGCATGTTCAACCCGTAGGCGTTTTTTGAAAAACTCAAAAAAACCGTCAAAAATCTTTGAAACGCATTTTTCTTGTTTTGTATGCATTTTAGAAACTTTTTTTTCGACCATAATTGTAGAGGGCGTTGAGTGCTACAATTTATGTCATTGTTGCAATCTCGTGCGACAAAAAATGCGCATTGTAGGTGGCGCTAAAGTCTCAAAAAATAGTTTTTTCACTTTTTCACCCTGAAAATATCATTTTAATGAAAAACTTTAAATGGCAAAGTTGTTTCGTACATAATTACCAACAACTTTTGTATAAACAATTTTTTTGTATTACTTACCGTTTTCAAGTTATATATTGCGCTGGTATGAAAAATCCAATAGAGCGGTTTTGGGCAGTTCAAGTACACATTTGCAGTGCACATTTCAATGTATGTGTTACTATTTTTTTTTTTGTTCATGATTGAAAAAAAAATAGTTTGAAGATGTTTGAAGCTAATAAACCAAAATTATTACATATAATTATTTCACCATTACAATACCAAATTAACCCTGATTAACATAGACTTAACATCAAATAAAGTTCAACAGCGAAGCCGGGGTCGAACGCTAGTAATTAGTAAAATCAAAGTCAAAATGTGTTTTACTAACAAACATAGCAAGCACTTACAGGGAGAAAATTCGTGAAATTCGAAAGCTTGATATCATTTAGGATGGCATCCCTTTGATGTATGTCCGGTGCTACTATTTACAAAACAATATGGAATAGATAATAATAGGGTACAATCGTTGATGGTAACACAACCAACACAACACTATCAATATCACATCTACTAATTGGATTTCATAATCCATATTTAATATTAAAGGCCTATTTGGGCTTAAAATTTGCACTGACCTTAATTAATTATTGTATTAAATTATTATATTATTCGGAAAGTAAACAAGGGCATGGCCCGCCTGTTGGTAAGCGGTTACCGTTCCTTTGGACGCCTACGACACCTAATATGCCCATTGCTACATTGTAAAAAATTCTTCACGACACTTTTGAAGAAACCCATGCAGCATTCTTTTCCGAAAATCTCAACAGATTCATTCCTCACATTCCTCCATCATTTAGGTTTTCCCAAAGGATTAAAACAGGGGATTCTTTATCGCATACGCGGGAGAAATTAATGCCACTGATAAGACCTATTCTAGACGGATGTAATCCGGCGTACCAACCAAGGTGACCTTGCCTGTTGCCATCCATGAAGACGAAGGATGTAATCCAAATTTTGATTTGATCTTCAACGTCCTTGGATTACGGGCGTGTGTTTCCATCCGCGGTTGGAGCGCGTGGATTACAACCGCTTGGCCGGCGGATTACATCCAACCAAAGGCAGTTGCGCTGTGGCAGTTGGCGGACGCGCACGTATGCGTGCACGTATTCTTGGACCTATTCTAGACGGATGTAATCGAGCGTACCAGCCAAGGTGACCTTGCCTGTTGCCATCCATCTAGACGAAGGATGTAATCCAAATTTTTATTTGACCTTCAACGTCCTTAGATTACGGGCTCGTGTTTACATCCGCGGTTGGAGCGCGTGGATTGCAACCGTTTGGCTGGCGGATTACATCCAACCAAAGACAGTTACGCTGTGGCAGTCAGCGGGTGCGCACGTACGCTTGTAAAAAATGTCGTCCGAAGACCAAAGTCGCGAACGCGATATTACTAGCGAACTAATTGATCTCTATAGAGATCTCCCATGCTTATGGGACATGACGTCGGAATCATATAAAGATGCTCGTCAAAAAATGCGTGGGAGACATTACTCGAAAAGTATAGGGAGTTGGGCATAAGTTTGAATGGCTGAGAATCATTCGCTCTTTTAACCAACGCTTCATCCACTTTTTCTTTTTGTATTATTTTTCGTCGTCTATTGTACACAAAACTCCTAAAACAAAGCCCACATTTTGAAATTTAGATAAATTTAAAGCCATTTCTAAAACACGGTTAATACAGTCCGCGCATGATACAAGTGCATACGTGTTTTCACGCCAGGAGACGGCTCGCGATTGCGTGTTGGCGCGTAGATTACATCCGTGTAGCCGAAAATCATAACGCGAATAGAAACCAAGTTCCCACCAAGGTCACCTTAGTTTGTACGCTGAAACATCCTTCTAGGATAGGCTTTATATCCATATCGGATATACCACTCGCTGTCTTGGGAAGTAACCTCCACTCGACCTTATAGTAGACTGCAGCGAAATATATGTTTCTCTCTATCAGCTATTGATTTTGAAACTAAAAGAAAATGGTTTATTTAAAAAATACCATTAAGAAAGCTTTTAGCTATTGAGTCTTATTTACACTTAAATAAGTACAGTAGCGAGTTAAGAAATCAGTGGGTTAAGTAATAAATAGTATGAAATAAGTACGCAAGTGAGTAGCGTTAACTAAGATGTAAGAAAATGGACGATTCTTATAAACTGTACTAAACTGGACGAGTCTACATGCTGTCCAGTTAAGTTAGCAGGGTGTAGGAGATGCGAGAGACGGGGCTATTTCGCACTGGACTAGCCGAAAAATATTCGACTTAATCATCATCAACTTACAACTTCACTTACTTTTGTTAGTTTTTAATCGACAATAACTTCTTAACTCGCCATATCGCAAGTTAACTAATGTGTTGATCGGGCTTTAGACTATATTTACCTTCAACCAGAAAGATTCAGATAGTAAGCTATATATCCTTAACTTACAGAATAGATAACGGTTGCATCGCAGAACACAGAAAGAAGGGTGTTCATAGACCATTTGTACGGGAACCGATTTCGCCGGCTCGTCCCCACTACACTTCCACCTACTAGATAATAGCCAATCAAACGACGCAACATCAAACAATCGAACCAATCAGCGCTCACACCCGAGAGCAATGACTGGATCAGATTCAAACTTTGGTGAAGTTATGAGCATTTGCTCACACTTAACTATGGCGCGGTTGCTCCGCCCATGAGGCCCTTCTTACCTCTTTCTGTGTTCTGTGGTGCTGATTAAACTGCCACACTTTTCTGTTCAGGACTCGCGGAAGCAAAATTTGATTTTATTAAAAAAAAAATATCTTATTATAAATCATAGCAATACAATAGGCACCTGGTAGGCATTGTCTTTTACAAATTTCATAAAATTACTAAATCCTTTATGGGTACTTGAAACTCTGTCCCAAAATGTTTGCTGATTAATCTCTGTAACCATAGATATCCGTGTCTGTAACAGTACTGTTAGTGGAAAACTCGAGTAGGTCCCGTGCAATGCGCCGCTCACGCAAACCCGCTTTGTCCATTATAGGAGGACGGCGTATCAAGCTAAGCGTCATTGATGCAAATTACGCCTGCGATTCCAATTAGCGTACCTTTTGAATATTACAACGGAAGCCAAGCTTGGTCGAGCTCGATAAATTAATTGGTATGAACTGAAATTAGAATTCATACAGCGCTCGACCTAATCATATTATCCGTTAATCCGTGATATTACTATGGTAAAATCGGTACTTATCTCTCCTTCAGATAGATTCTAAACCCTGCTGCCCTGCAAATTGAATTATGTGCCCTGCACATAATTCAATTTGCAAGTCGAATTACCAAAAAAAGTGTTTTTTATACAAAATGTGAATTAAAAGTTAACGCCGGTTTCTAGTGCTACTAATATTCTGTCTTGTGTTATCGGTAATACTTACAATTATCTTAAGTTCCAAGACTGAATAAAATATTATTAAAAAATTGCTAAAACCCCTTTATTAATTCATGCACGTTATCAGTGTCATTAATTCTTCCCGCGTATATACGATAAAGAAAACCTTCTGTATTCTTAGGGAAACCTCATTGATAGACGAAACCGCCCATAGGAAATTCTTGTGTCCGTGTAATATAGATACATATTTTTTGAAGATTGCACGGTTCGTACGAAGCACTGAAGTACGGCAGCCTGCTGGACGGGCTCGCGGACCTGACCGGCGGTATCACCGAGTCGCTGCCGGTCACCGACTTCACTGACGCTTCCACGCTCGCCGCCCTGCTCAAGACCACCAGCATAGTCACCGCTTACCACCTCCCGACGGTAAGCAAATATTTTATGCTCAAACGCGCAAAAACAGCTTAACAGATTTTAATGAATTAATTAAAACGGCCACTTTTTATCTTAGAAAAAAATGATACGTACGTAGTTAGGTTAGTGTTTACATCGTGAGGGATTCTGAAAAAACCTAAAATTAACGCGGTAAAAAACTTAAAGTCGCGGGCGGAAGCTAGTGTTCAATAAACGAGGGCACTGGCGGGCGACACTATTTTTTTGCCTGCGTATATGCGTTAGCAGCATACGATTCCATTAAAATTTATCCATTCGCTCACGGTGGGATTATCCGGCCCGCGGTTCGCCTCACCCGGCCGTCTAACGCGCCTAACGAGAGTAACGAGTGGTCCGCGCCGTGCACTTGACCAAGGATATTCAATTAGCGATAATGCATCGTCCACTCTATGGATCAGCTAATGACATCTGAAATCGAGTAGGCGCAATAATTCGTGGCGGTGCTGTGCGAGTGTCATGACCGATTTACGCTTCGATGCCCTTTAGCTACCGTGCATTATGTAAGGCACAAACTGCACAACCCAACAGTTTTTATGTACACTAGTTTTTTTTTATATAATATATATAACCAGGTAGGCAAATGACTCTGCCCCACCTGATGTTAAGTGGTGATAAAGTCCAAACGCAAAGATAGCTGGTACAGCTGTTATAAAATGCCACACCAACCATCCTCACCTTTGCTTCATGTATTCTAGCACCCGACTAATTTGCTGTATAGGAGTATATAAACATGTTTGCAATATTTTGGTCGTCCCTAACTACTTCATTTAATTCGCAATTACCTACATGAAAAAAACAAAGTATGAATAATAAATAGTTAACTCTATTTTTAATTCAAACTAGCAAACCCCGCGAACTCCGTTTCGCCACCAGATGGCTTCGTTTTATGTAACATTTCGTTTGGTGATTAAAAGAAGTTTTTTTTTTTAATTTTTCCTGAATTTTCTTTGCTATAAACCTCACGGAGCCCGAGACCTTTCCAACGAATGCAAAACCGTGGAAATCGGTTCGTGCGTTCTGGAGTTATAGCGTCAGGAAGGAAAACCCGACTTATTTTTATATAGTAGATTATTGAGAAAATAAAAGTTTGAAACATATTTACATATTCAAAGCCTTTTTTCAAATTCAATTTTTACTAGAAAAAATTTTACTCGGTCCGGTTTTCAGACGGGATTTGAACCGGCATCTCCCGTTATCCGCCCGTTTAGCGGAAGATGTGATTTGTTTCCGAGTGGATTTTTTTCTAGTAATATTATCTTTAGATTTAAATATCCAGTTAAATGCTTAAAATATTTTTTTTATAATCGACTTATTCAGTTAGCCGCTCTTTTCGTAATAGCGTACTGCAAAATCCATCGAACTGTATGAGTCCATGTGTAAGGTAAGAAACAAGGTATGATTTCCAACAAAATTAATTACAGTTCAGTCTGTTACAGCGGAAAGCAATACAAAATCAATAAATCAATTAAACTGAACATATTTGACTAGGAAATATGAAAGTACTTACTTTTGTCTCCTTTTTTTCCTGCGATCTGTCTTGTCGACATTAAGCTGGGTTTTGTGAATTTAGAAAAAAGATGTCGTGCATGGTACCTCGGACCTGAAATAAACATGGTACATGATCCAATGATATGCCCATCTATTTTGACTTTTCTGTGTTTGTGTTAGACAAGACTTGAGGAGCACGACTCTTTAGTCTCTTAAATGTAATAGTTTGGTTGCCGTCATCAAATTTCTTACAGCGAGCAAACGCATATTTTATTTTATTTTTATTATATTTTTTAGGTAAAGGTTTATGTTGCTCTAAAATTGTGTACGATGGCAGCACATAATTAAGTGTAATCTCTTGGGCGAATTACATCGTATATTATTAGTCGAACGGCACTTACAGGTAAGTTCGTTTGGCTTTCAATTTTCTTCCCATTAGCCGATAGAGCTTTCTTAATTGTAAGTCAAGTGCTTCCCTTTTGGTAGATATATCCTTCTTCCAGATTAAACGTCTATCCAAGTAGAACCCCAAGTATCGAATTTCATCTGCCTAGGGTATCTCAATTTGGTTTTATTCAACTTCTGGGCATGTATCTTTTCTTAAAGAAAAGGTGACATGTTCATTTGCCTTTATACGCCAGTCTTTCAGCTAATCTGAGATATCTTTTCGGCTTTGTTGCAATTTTGCCGATGCTTAGGTGTTTTATTAATAGCAGGTATGGCAGTATCATCAGCAAATATTCCTGTCATTATATCTTGTCTATTTGGGTCCAAATCCAAGGTGTATAATAAAGAGTATTGGACCTATTAGACTGCCCCGTGGAACCCCTGTTCTTATTTCGTGTAGGCCTGTAGTAATGACACCATATTCAACAAGGAAGTGCCTGTCACTGAGATATGAATTTATAATCAAATAGAAGTTTATGGTTAAGTTTTCCGGGGCTTGATACAAGAGTCCATCATGCCAGATACGGTCGAAAGCATGTGAAATATCTTAGAAAGCAGCGGAGCAGGTACTATCCTCCTCCTATGTACTTGTTCTATTGTACCATGACCTTTTCATAAAACTGGTGATCCGGGATAAGAAACTTCGACGGAACTGAGAGAAGACTATTCGGACGGTATGATTTGATCTCAGTAGGATCTTTACCGGGCTTAGGAAATATGATGATTTCTGCAACCTTCCACTGTGGTTGAACAAAATTTCTCCAAAAGCATGCGTTGTAGACATAAGTAAGAAATGTAATGCCGACGTCTGGTTGCTTTCGCAAGTCTTAGCTGTAATTAGATCATACCCTGGTGCTTCGTAAATTTAGATTTTTTTTAATAGTCCTATAATACTTCTTGTTTGCTGAATTGTTTAGGTGGATCTGGTTGATGTGGTTTGTCGAGTTCCGATTTAATTAAACTGGCTTTGCATCCATGATTGCTATTTGGAGTAAATACTTCAGATAGATGTTTAGCGAATGCAATGGCCTTTTGCTCATCATTTTTTGTCCAACTACCATCTTCTTTCAAGATAGGCGATCGATGTGTTATTGGTTGTTTAAATTTTCGTAGCTTTCTATAGTGCGTAATCGGTGGTCTGGGTTTCATCAGAATTTTAAGATAGTTCTCCATTTCTGTATTTGTTTGCAATTTTGTTGTAGTGGTTTTTGTGTGCAGGATATTGTGTTTCGTGCCATAGCTTTCTGGCTTTTACGCTTTAAATTTACCAGTTCCAAGATATATTTGGGATAGGAGTAACTTTTATTATGTTTTCCAATCTGGGATGGGGTTGAATCCCATGCGGCTAACTGTATGGTCTTATTGAAATACGCCACCGCCCGAACAATTTCCTCATCTGTTTTAAGTGGAACATTGTAGTCTAGTGTTTGCTCGTCGCGGAATAATGACCAGTTTGTTTTTTTGGTGTGCAGCCATGACTTGTCGACATTTATAACGTTGCTGCTTAATAATAAATTACTGATCTGAAGTCATTTGAAGGCAAGTAGTACTTTATTGATTTTTTGGGGAGTCCCTTGATTATGAAGAAATCAATAAGGTCTGATTTTTTTACAAACATCGGTAGGCCAGTATATTAGTTCTCCCGTAGAGGTGACGTTTAGTTGTAGGATTCTTATAGTTAGAAGTAATAGTCGTCCTTTGCTGTCGGGGTACTTAGTCGTGACCCCCATTCAGTATGTTTTGCGTTGTAATCGCCGCCAGCAATAAACCGTCGTCCCCGAGTTTTGAAAAAGGTTCAATATGCCTCGGCTGTCATCTTGTGTTTAGGAGGAATGTATATCGCAAACAATGTTATCTCGCCTTTCGAGTCATCAGTTACTATATTAGTAGATTTTTTTATCTCTAAGCAATAAGGAAAAGCGGCGTAGTGCCTTGATTTGTCTCAGATTAGCACTGCTGAACCTCCATGTGCTGTTCCATCGGGAATCGGGATACATTGTATGATATTATTTATATGTTGGTATGTATATGTAGGTACAAGTAAAACATCACCATTATTTGTTTCAAGAAATAATTTAACTTCATTGAAGTGTTGTGACAAGCCGTTTGGCGTTCCATAGTGTTGAATTTTTTGACATTATTAACATTAGGTTTGTAAGTATAGTACACATTTGATTCATGATTTGTTTAAACATTTTTATTAGCTGTTTCATGTCGTCTGAGTTGTCGGCAGAGTTAATGATAGGAGGTTGTGGTGTTTCACATTCTTTGTTTACTTTATTTAATAGGGCATCCTTGTAAGACTCCACTTTGTACATTTTTAAAGTTACTTTCCGGCATAGGCTCATCAGCTTTTTAAAGATCTGGTGTTCTACTTTTTTGTTTCATAGAAAAGGGAATTTTTTGTTTTTGCAATTCCTTGTATACGCTGCAACTCTAATAGTTTGCTGGATGATTTCCATCGCATAAGACGCATTTACCAGAGCCAGAACGTTCTTTACGGGTTCAATTTGTAGATAAGTGGCTGCCAGCGCATTTGATGCATTTGGGAGTGCGACGACAGTATGCTTTTATGTGGCCATATTGCTGGCAGTTTTCACATTGGGGAATGTTGCATGTTTGTCATGGTTCTACTTTTATACTCAAGTGGCTTGAGGGCTCATATATTTTTTTGTTGTTTACTTTTAGTACCTAGTAATTCAACAATAAACATATATAGAGATTTTTTGTCGTTCCTTGCTTCATGTTCTATATGTTAACTTTTTCTTTTAGGGCTTCATGAATTTCTTCAGTGTCTATCCCGTCCGGTGAATATTTTTAGGACTACTGTAAAGGTACGTTTCTGCTTAGGCTGGTATGCATAAAACTCTGTTTTTTTTCCTTCTAGTTGTTTTATTATCTATATATATAAAACTCAAAAGTGACTGACTGACTGACATAGTGATCTATCAACGCACAGCCCAAACCACTGGACGGATCGGGCTGAAATTTGGCATGCAGGTAGATGTTATGACGTAGGCATCCGCTAAGAAAGGATT